TGGAGTTTTTAAACACTGTGTCCACTCACTGTCCACTCTATTAGACACTCCTACCTTGTCAGTCCACCTTGTAGATGTAAAGTCAGAGACGATAGCTCATCTGCTGCTGCACAGTTTGTGTTGGTCATCCTCTAGTCCTTCATCAGTGGTCACAGGACGCTGCCCACAGGAGGCTGTTGGCTGAATATTTTTGGTTGGTGGACTATTCTCAGTCCAGCAGTGACACTGAGGTGTTTAAAAACTCCAGCAGCACTGCTGTGTCTGATCCACTCAGACCAGCGCAACACACACTAACACACCACCACTACGTCAGTGTTACTGCAGCGCTGAGAATGATCCACCACCCAAATAGTACCTGCTCTGTGAGGGTCCATGGGGGTCCTGACCACTGAAGAACAGGGTAAAAGGGGGCTAACAAAGTATGCAGAGAAACAGATGGACTACAGTCTGTAACTGTAGAACTACAAAGTGCACCTATATAGTAAGTGGAGCTGATAAAATGGACAATGAGCGTAGAAACAAGGAGGTGGTCATAAAGAAATTGTGAGTCTCTTTTAGTGTCCGTACGCCTGCATGTTCTAAACCACATCAGTGACCTTAATGAGGACCAGGATGTGGTTCGAATGGGCTGAGAGAACTTTTGGGAATGTAATTTCAGAAAAGATCTGGGTGACTATTGACTTTCAGTGTTTGTAAGCAATGTTAGTCTCGTCAGCTCAAAGCAAAATTTGGCTTTATCTTCAGATCCCCAGTGATGTCATGGCCATCTTTGGCATACTGGGGACATTGATGTTGGTAGCCTCCTGCATACTACCTACTACAGTTGGGCACAATTAGTACCCTCTCCTTGGAACAATGTGGCTCCACCCCCTTATTATCCCCATCACCTGTTTCTTGTTTGTTAGTCAGTCAGTTAAGATGCAAGCTTGTGAAATGTCATGTTACATTGTAGCTGGCCATGTTTCCATTCTGTCTTAACTGACCAGTAGGTGTGCTATAGCACATGTGGAAAAATAGCCTATGTAGCGAAAATTTGTGTAACACATTAATTAATTATTGTTAAGTATGAATTGTAAAAAGTGTATTAATAACAATGCAATCATATATAGTGAAATTGTGAATGTCAGACATTGTGAATCGCTCATTTAGCTATGCATTCAATTTATATTAGATAGTTATTTATATTTAATTACCAGTGATGTCAAAGTTAGCATGTTAATAATGCATTAATACATGAACCACTTAACATTCCAGATTTATTTAATACTAAGGCTTATTATTCAGTAATTACAGGGACTTCAATGCAAACTAATGGAGCTATTCTTAGGTTATAGAAGTGTAATAAAACCTACTGGCCAATGGCTTATTAAGGGGTTAAATCATTAATGGCACAAATTCTTTTTAACATCGTTAATGCATTTCAGTGCTTCGACCGAGTGGTCCAGGCTGAAGCCCAGCTTCTGTGCACTGTATGTTACTATGATAGAAGCCGTAACTTTAGCCCCCTCATCGAAATACAGCTTTTAAATTGCTTTTAAAGCGAAAACATTTGCATCTTCAACAGGCTGCAATAAACAGAGCTCACGAGAGCTGTGGATAAATCAACAAACAAAAACAACAGCAAAGTGGAGCTCCAGTTCCCCTCGAGAGCCTCCACTGTAACAAGAATCCATGAGCTGTATGAATTAATGTATAAACAGTGTTATTGAATCATTGAATGTAATCGATACATTCTGATGCAGATTATTTTGTCCACTGCTTTTTAAATGGAACAAGTCTTTCTTTACGGTCAAATTTGGGCAAATAAGATGCATTTGGTGCAATCTTGATTCACTATTTTAATCATTTGACATCATATTTCACTTATTTCTATTTGTTTCGACATGAAAAATCACAAAAGCATGGCAAAAATGTGAAAACCAAAGTTATATCTGTTTTCGGAAAGTTTTGAACGGTTGCATGAGTTAATCCTTAGTCGAAAAACGTCCCTACTCCGTTCCCGTGTCCCATCAGGTCTGGGGAGACAGTCTGTCATTGTTCCAGGCCTGGTCAGAGCGACAGCTCCCTGCACAGGACAGCATGAATCTGACACACAAATAACAAAAGCACCAACAGCAGCGCTGATTGCTTATTTTTTGCTTTTTTTTGCATAGCTAATGAGCAGAGAAACAGATGGATCTGTCTGAAAGTGGGTTTCCCCTGCTAGTCCGCGCACTGAGGGAGCGAGAGCAGATCTTTCTCTCCGTTCTCTTCCCTCCTTCACCAGCGGAGCATCAAAGCCGAGCCGAAGTGTTTGAAATTCATTGGAAGTGTCGGATTAATTATTCAGGCGTGATGTGCTGAACCGCGATGCCAGTGTTGCCAATGTTGTTTTTCCTGCTTAGGTGGTGAAACACGCTCCGGCATACATACATCCAAACACAAACAAACCCCACCGACTCCATCCAGAAACTATGGATAGCCAGCCCTTTGATGGTTCCTTTGTAACTTGAATGTTGCGTTTAGCTTAGCTGAAATAACGTCATTTTGATTCTTTAGCGTTACATTAATATGAACTCACTGGCCACTTTATTGGAAACTTATGTTGCTCCACCTTAAACCACAGTTAGAGACTGTAGCTTATGTGTTTTTGCAGTGTGTGTTAGCCATCCTTTATCATCCCTTATAAAACGGATAGTTCCGGTCTAAAAATCTGATTGGCTGAGTTGCGAAGCCGTTGTAAAATCCATGACATACACACACCTATGACCACTTCACAGTGACTAAACTCTGTATCACCGCACCACAGCACGAAAAAACCCTTGGGCTGTTAATGGAATAATCTTTGACTCTCGTGCTGCTCGCATGGAGCACCGAGTATATTGATGAAGTAAGAACCCATTTTTTGTTTAAATTGAGGGGCTGACAAGAACTAGAACTAGGCTGGTCAGCTAGCTAACAGGCTAAAAGAGCCAACAGCCTAAACAACTCCAGCATTAATATCACAGGCTTAAATTAAAGTAGTTACGGTTCGATTAACTGTAAAATATCAGTATAAAAGTCTAAAAATGTCACTTGAATGATTTACACACTTCAAATGTCCGTGTCTCAGTCAGAAGTTGCGTCAAACCCAGGCTGAATCCCAAACGGCTCTGTACTCCCTAAATAGTGTTCTAGCTATGAAAGTTTAGAAATTCTCGCCTCTACAGCCAAACAGTGCATCATTTATCGAGTGTGGATGTGTCTGATTCCCAAATGGCTATATTTTAGCTGTATTTTGCACTGTTGGGCACTGTTTAAATTCCTACATAGTGCACTATGTAGGGAGCAGGGAGCCGTTTGAGATTTAGCCCCAGCGTGAGAAGAGGGATGCTGCTGGATTGGTGCTAAATAAGACTCGGTGGTAATTTGGTGACCAAAAAGTACCTATAAAGTGAAAGTCTCTGTATTATACAGTGCTGCATTATCGTATGTTTGTTCTTATACGACAAAAAGTTAAAAAATTTCATGAAATGACCGCAATATACAGTGATGGGCAACTGAACGTTCTCCTTAACATTCAGTGGTGCATGGTTGCTTGGCAACGGTACTGCCGTCTTATCACAGGGAAGGAGGTTTTACACCCCTCCCATGATAAAATCGCAGTAACGCACAGCCTCTCGTGGCTTCTTACTTTATTATCCTTCATCAGTGGTCAGTTTCTGACCACAGAGCCACTTTGGTCGACATTAAAATGGAATTCCAGACATTTTTATGAATATTCCTCCATAGTTCAGAAAAAATCAGAGTGATTTGATGTGAAATGGTTGATTGTAGAGACTCAGATTTCTTTACAGTGGTGGTGATAGGAACCAGGGGTCGCCATGACTACAACACAAATATAACCATTTTATTTACTATCCAAACTACCAGTGAACCTACACGTCTTCTGAGTTTTTATAAGTAAAGTTGATGAAGGTGGAAAATTTGAAAAAATAACTTTTCTTTGGGGACTACTTTGCCTCACAACACCCTTCATGTACCTCTTCACCATGAATGGATTTTCAGTATACTGGCGCCTCAGATGTTAATGAGTATTCGAGAACCTGCACAAATCTCTAGTCAACAGCAATCAGAAACTGACCAATGGTGAAAGTGGTTAACATATTGTGCATCTACAGATGGGCTACAGTTTATATGTCTGTATGTACTCTTCAAGGCTTCTTTAGTAAAGGGAATGGCTCTATTTAGAACCATGTGTTCTATAAAGAACCATTTCATTCTTAAATGGTTCTTTGCATGGTGAAATGGTTCTTTAGATTGATTGAGAATGGGTTGTATATGGTTCTGTATAGAACCTTTTTTGAAAATGGTTCTATACAGCACCAAAAATGTTCTTTTTTATGATGTTAAGCTTGTAACAATAGAAAAAACATTTTGGTGCTATATAGAGCCTTTTTCAAAGAGGTTCTATATAGAACCAAGTACAACACATACAACTGGATAGCATGTATCTTTTCCAGTTCAGCGGCTATATCTCACTCTGAAGGCCTCATTCATAGCAATGCAAGTGCTTGCTACAAGCATTTATCTTGATGAACAGTTGTCTTGGGCTCATTACGGCAGTTCGTGGCAGCGCAGATAGCCAGAGCAGGTTTAAATTCTCTGTAAATGGTGAGAGTTGTGGTGATTTTAGTGTGCAGTTTACATCAGACACTATGGGCAGAGTGCCTGAGGCTGAAACTTACTGAAATATAACAAAAAACTCTTCTGCAGTGCATGTTTTACACCTCAAACCACAGTGCCTGCCTCCCCAGGCCCTTTTAGCAAGCTACTAACAAAACACTGACATCTGAAACCCTTTTTCTTCTTTCTTTGAATAACTAGTCGACTAGTCATGCAATCCCACTGTATAGTGGACCCAAAATGTAGGTGGATGTCTTAGAGTGGACAGTAAATAGAAGCAGAAGCTAGATGTTCCTAATAAAGTGGACATAGAGTGTTTATTAACCTGTTTTTTTTCTCTCTCTTTTTGGTTACAGAGACAAGGACCCGGAGCTTCAACTGGAAACAGCAAACCCTTAGGGGATCAAGGTGAAGTTCCTCTAATTCTTTTAGCTAGAACTGATTAATGTCTGAGAAGCTGGCTGTAAAGTTTGCTGTACGTCCAGCCTGAACTGTCAGAAATGCCTCTCCGAAGCAGCAGCTCTACTGGGAGGATCAGTCTTCATGAATCTTTTTTAGTGCCCCTCCTAAACGCTGCATGATCAATGACGAGACTCATCTCCCATCTTCGCCGCTAGAATCTAATTTCCGCACTGTAGGCAGTGGAAAGTGACGGGCTGAGTCTGCAGAACCCCTCATGGCTCATGATATAGATGGAGCAGTGTTGGCTGATAAGAGCGTGACAGCAGAGTCCTATCAGAAACGCACTGGTAGCTTGGGCTGTTCTGGAGTCCATAAGGCGAATTTCTGAATGTTGTCAATGCTATAAGCCTTTAACCCCTTAAAACCCCAGGCTTTTTACATACTAAGGCCTATTATTCAGTAACAACAGGGACTTCAATGCAAACTGGCTAGGCTTAAACTGCAGGCTTATTGCTCAAGTATAAATCTTAAGACTTACTATTCACTACAAATTACCTAGAAAATACTCTCATACTATTAGTATTACTAAAAAGCAGGTCTCTGGAACGGTTCTAATGGTTCTAAACCATTCTGCTGGCAACAGAAACTTAAGAATGCTTGCTTATATGTTCTAGAACAGAAACATTCAGCTCTCTCTAGCTTATTATTCATGTTGTACCTCCAAAATCCCAAATGATCTTTTATAGGATTTACAGTACTGTGCAAAAGTCAGAGCACACACTTCATTAATGTAATTTCCAGACAAATCAAGTTATTCGTTTTTTCAGCATCAGAAAACATATTTAACACAAAATTACCCAGAAGCCTCAAAAGCTAAATTCATATTAAATATAACTAAAGTAAATACAAATATATTACTTTTTTCAGAGTTTATTGTGTCGACTCTTTACCCTTATTACAGCTTTCATTCTATTCAGGAGACTCGCTTTCAGTTTTTCAAAGAAATCTGCAGAGATATTTTGGAGCTCCAAAGTTCACTCTTAGGCCCAATCTCATTTCTTATTTTTACTCCTACCCCTTAGTTTCGAGTGCCACTTTGCCCCTTGAAACTGAGTTCCAAGGGGTAGTGGTTGAAATCTTCCCTATAAAATGGGACCCTCAAATAAAAAGAACATTACTTCATTAACAGCTACCAGCGCTGCTCTGTAGGCGACCCTGCCAGTCTGCATTGATAGCAGAGGAGGGTAAAGTTCAGCTCCTCACTGCTGGGCTTTAGTTACATTTAGGGAATCATATGCCTTCAAAGAGGAGGGGGGCAGTTATTTATTATCACCCACCCCTAATTCTTCGGCGATGTGAAGCTGAAGTCAGATATTCACCAGCTTCCCATTCGAATTTTCTCCTTCCACCTTAAATGGTGTAGCAGTTCTGATGCCTGAGGTGCCAGAATGTAACTGCTGCACCTTTTAAGGTGGAACAGGAAATTTAGCTAGCTTGCTACTGAGACATCCGCAAACTATTAGCCATTTTTTATGCTTGTTATGAAGAAAACGACAATAATACATTGAAACAATATTACACAATTCAATGATGTTAAGGTGGTTTTGAACACATTTCGACACTCTATGCGTCCTGAAATTGTTAGAAATTGTCTTACAGGTGTTAATAAAAATATGCTCATAGACATTACAATTGGTCAGTAACAACTGGTTGTATTAGTTCAAAATCTTCACTGCTATGAAGACATTTTTGGTCTTAGGCTGTTGTGGGATCAAGGTGCGAAATACAGGAGGGCGTGGGACGGTCCATGTCTCCCTCATTAACCTCTTTGACCACCTTCATGTCTCAAAATCAAAATTCTAGAGGGTTATTGTTTAGCTGCTTCACCCACAATCGGCGAGCTTCTGTCTTTGGTATTCTTGACTGACTAAAGCTGGAACACTGCTCTGCTGTTCACCCAGTTGGTCCTTCATTGCCTAACAACTGTAACTATACCCTGGGTACCTCTGAAAAACTTTATAGTATGCCGTAAGATGTTTGTAAATCTGAAAATTGCCCAGCTTTCCCAGGAGTTTGGCGATAAGAGTGTATTGCTACTCATGTCTCAAACTGAAGACCAAAGAGATACGATCTCAGTGTGGAAGACCACATTACCAAACTAGAAAAGACCATTTCCAGAAGAAGAATTGTTAAACCAAACATTTTGTTGCCATTGAAGCATCAGAGAACATCAGTGAGCAGGATTAGCAAGGCAGCATAGGACCCCCAAATACCAGAGGGATGCTTGGGATGAATGAATATCCCTGCGTATGTAATATGAGTTGAGGATTGATTGTCTGAGAGCCTCATTCTCTGGATGAAGCAATCAGTGATGAAGGCGCAGATGGTAACAGGGCAGAAATGTCCCAGGAAGGCCATTGCCTTTATTTAGAGCCTCAATCTTCCCGGGTTCTTTGCTGTTGTCTCTGTAGATTAGAGGAGAGGACAGCATGGTCACTAAAAGTTTAATGTGGTCATGAAACATACTTGCTTATATGCGAATGTTGGTGATCTGCACTAAGACGTTTAGACGTAAACCCTTAGTGGAGAGGTATTATCATCATTTTACTATACATTTGATTTACATTACATAATTACATGATTGATTACATAGTGGGTTATATAACTAATTACATTTGCATTCAGTTTACATTGCATAATGTAAATGCACAATTATTTTCATATGGAGCTATGTAATTTAGTAGATTAACATTGTTTACATAATTATTTAATTGTAATTACACATTTACATAACTGAATGTATGGCAAATTGCATCATTAATTACATTTATGCTCGGTATATTGGGCAGACAGGAGATGGTTGTAACACATTTTATCTCTGCCTCTAAAACTCACTTAGCAAATGTTTAGTGCATTATTTAATATGGAGTTGCCCCCTTTTGTGGCTATAACAGCCTCTGCTCCTCTGGGAAGCTTTCCACAAAATTTTGGAGTGTGTCTGTAGGAATTTGTGCTCATTTATTAAAAAAAAGCATTTGTGAGGTCAGACACTGATGTTGAATGAGAAGGCCTGGCTCAAAATTGACGTTCCAGTTCATCCCAAAGGTGTTCAGTGGGGTTGAGGTCAGGACTCTGTGCAGGCCACTGGAGTTCCTCCACACCAAACTCATCACACCATGTCTTTATGGAGCTTGCTTGGTGCACAGGGACTCAGTCATGCTAGAACAGGAAAGGGTCTTCCCAAAACTGCTGACACTAAAATGTCTTTCTATGCTGTAGCATTAACATCACCCTTCACTGGAACTCAGGGGCCAAACCCTGAAAAACAGCCCCAGACCATTATCCCTCCTCCACTAAACTTTACTGTTTAACTATGCATTCCAGTAGGTAGTGTTCTCAAACCCAGATTCAGACTGCTAGATATTGAAGCGTTATTCATCGCTCCACATAACACATTTCCACTGCTGCAGAGTCCAGTCCAGATGCTTTACACCACTCCAGTCAGTGCTTGGCATTATAATAGTAATCTTAGGCTGCTCAGCCATGGAAAACCATTTCATGAAGCTCCTGACACACAGTTCTTGTGCTGATGTTGCTTCCAGAGGCAGTTTGGAGCTCTGTATTGGGTGATGCTACAGAGGATAGGTGATTTTTATTTGCTACCTGCTTCAGCAATTGCTGGCCCTGCTCTATGGGTTTGAGTGGTCTACTGTTTCATGGCTGAGCTGTTGTTGTTCATAGATGCTTCCATTTCACAAAAATGGCACTTACAGTTGACTGGGGCAGATCTAGCAGGGCAGAAAATTCACAAACCAACTTGTGGCAAAAGTGGTGTCCTATGACAGTGTCACATTTACAGTCAGTACATCCCATTCTACTGCCAGTGTTTGTCTATGGAGATTGCATGGCTATGTTTATGCACCCGTTAGCAATGGGTGTGGCTGAAACACCTGAACTCAATAACTAGGAGGATGATTAGGAGGGGCGTCCACATACGTTTGTATTACTAGTGTATTAATCTACACCAAAACATTTAAAACACATATGAAACGAGTGAAAGTTGCAGATGAAGGAGGACAAAGTCAAATGTCACGGATGTCATGCAGCATATTTAGAACCATTTCATGTCATAACTTTCCGTGAGGGAGCTTTTAGAGACATGAAACTCTCTGACGTCTGGTTCCTATCACCACCACTGTGAGCCATTCTGAAAGTCTAGAACGGTACATATCACCAGACCATTCTGGATGACTTAATGATTAAATTACTGATTTGCTCAATCTGAAGAATTCCCTTTTAACAGTACAGCTGTTGTCTTGTCCACAGATGCATCCAAGAAAGACGTCCCGGCGGAGGACTTCGACATTGACATGGGCGCCCCTGAAACTGAGAAGGCCGCCGTCGCCATCCAGAACCAGTTCAGAAAGTACCAGAAGAAGAAGCATGATGTGAAGTCCTAGGCGGAGCTGGGGTGCATGTGGCCCCGGGAGGCCCCTGAGCACCGTGAGGGCTGGCTGTTTGCATGTCTAATAAACCGCACCATCATGGACCCGAGGGTGGGGGTTGGGGTAACTTTGGGGAACGGGACCAGTGACATCAAGTCAACCATTACCCTGTCTGTCCTGTCCGTCACTGGCATCTCTCTGGAATAATTACTGTAACCATTTCAGATTTGAATTCCCTTTGTTGGTTGTTTTTAGATATAATGGCTTTTCCTTTTATTGCTTCTTTTGATATGCACTGATTTATATACTTTTGGTTCCTTTGTTTCTGTTCCAACCTGGCCAATATTGGGATATGTGACACATGAGATTATCTATTGTTTGTGGAGTTACAACAACAGGAGATATGTAATGATCTGGAGGAGTAAAGAATATATTTTGAATGTTCCTCAGATGTGAAAGCATGAACATATCATGGACATTTACCATCATTTTAAGCCAGGGATGTACATCATGCCCTGAACATGCTGAAATTACTGCTCTCCATTTGGCCCAAGTGGCTGGTTTTGGAGAGAAACCAAGAAATTCCAGATTTTAAGCCAATTACTACTGTATTTACCTTATTTGGTTATAGAGTGAATGGTCATCACCTATTACGCTCATAAACAGTGCTTGTGAGCTTTCATTCCACCACCATTCCTCACAACTCTCGACTGTAGCCAGTGGCTTCATCCGTAGATATCGTGTTTGTGCTAAAACCTTCATCATTTTCCCACAGAACATTGTTTTATCAAGAAAATGTGACATGCTATACACTATACTGTCCATTAAACACCTAATATATGAAATTAATACAAATAAATATTGAGAAGAACCATCCACATGACTGTTATGTGTTCATATACAGTGCTATTGCGTTTGCTTTATGCAATGCTAGAGTGTTTTGCCTTCTTTCTTGTTGTCTTGCTCTTTTTCTTTTAGGGAAAGGATCCAGATCCTTTAGTATAGTTGCTGTTCAAGGAGCAGCATTAGGAGAAGAGGTTTTCTCCTGAGCTTGCAGTGAACTCCTGACCCCGCCAGAGTGTATTGATCCATCAATGGGATTTTACTTAATTGTTTTTTAAAGCCGATAAAGCTGAGGGGAGCCATCAAGGCAGCTAGTTTCCTCTCATATTAGCAAATCTGCTGATCAAATATGCTGCAATGGGTTGTAAAGCGGTCATCATAATGGAAACTGTCACATCACCCACTGTAGAAGTATAGTCTGGCATTATAATCAAAATTTACACAGTTTTCTCCCAACCCGAAATGGAGTTAATCAAGCAAGACAAGTCTGTTGTCTCACGTTTACACTGGAGCTATGAGGCTAATGTCGCTAACAAGAAATGTAAGCTTGTAACCATCAATTAGCATCATTTAAAATGAGCCTTAAACCAAGTTGAGATGTTAAGTAGTCTCAAATAGACTTGCTTATGGGGTTTAGGACTCTGTATAACATACAGTTATCTATAAAAATGGATAAAATTACAAAGCATAGCTAAAAACAGTAATAGCAGCCATCTTAGCACCTCAGTTATGCATTATAAATCGTCCAAACGTGAATTTTCGCCTACTATGGAAAGCCAAATGAAGCAGTAGCCAAAAAGCTAGTAAGCTAGTATCTATTATCTTCTTAGACACAATATGCAGACTAAATATGCAGCGTTTTATAATGCTGGCTCTATTGGATAAAACAGCAGCTGTTTAGAGATTTCTGACGGATTGAATTGGATCTGAGTTTCTGGCTTCGCTCTGAGACTAGGCAATCTGACCATGGCCCACTGCGCAATGGTCTCGCATGTTCATGTTAATAGGCAGTGAGCCGATTACCCAGTGAGGACACATTTGTTCCAAACTGACCATACTGTATGGCTGTCAGGTCAGTCTGTGAGAAATCACTGCTCCTGTTCTTTTTGTTAACACAATCCCCTCATACTGTCTGTAATCCTGCGCATCTGTTGTTAACGCTGTCCAAATCCAACCCAACTGAGACTGCCCATATTTAGTTGGTTGTTCTGGAGGCATGACTGTCAGCGTTGCTAATAAACATTGGATATAAATCCAATATAAATCCAAATAACTGGACTGCTACTGTTCTGATCCAGAAAGAAAACTTTAATTACTTGCAGACCTTAAAGGAAGAATTTAGAGGAAAATCTCATTTATACAGTTTTATCACAACCGTAGTCAATCAGCCAAGACATGTTTAGTGTTAAAAGTCAAAAGCTGCACTGGAGCTGCAAGGCTAGCCAACAAGTAGTGGACGCTTAAAGCACAAAAATTAGCACAGTGCAAAGCAGGCCTAAATCATCACATTCACCTCAACTGCAATACGCTGTTAAGTATCTCAAATAGACTTGTTTATGTGGTTTCTGACACTGTATGACATAAGAATTTAGAACTAAAGTTGGCTGCTAACACAGTTTTTAGCTGTGTAATTTACTTTTGTTCTTTTTTGTTGTTGTTGCAGATACCAGTGTTTCAGTGTTAACACATAAATGCTTTTGAGATTACTTACAATTCAACACTGAGGCAAATGTGATCATTTAGGCAGTGATGCAGTCTAGTCTGAACTGGTGGGTGTACTGTGACTAGCTGTTAGCAAGACTAGCCTAGCCAGTAAAGCATAGCTGTACATAATCACACATTAACGCTACAATTGTGGTGGAATTTTACTTAAAATATAATCTTGAACATGTAATGTCTTTTTATCATTCATTATATGGGGTAAATTTAGTTGCCAACCAAGCAGTTAAAATTTTGGCAGCTAACATAAGGCTAGCATTACCTCACAAAGACAGCTCTCAGAGATTTTCACATTTGTAGGACTCGAGGTTTAGTTTCTAATTCGTTAACAGTTTGATGACTTGTAAGAGAGGTTTATTTCCATGACTGTTCAGAATTAGGTTTAATGCAGTACATTTTTTTGTGTCAAAATATCACATGCAATGCTAATAATGACCAAACATGCACCATGGTGAATTTGCACAGCTACTTGCGGTATGCAAACCTGTGGATTTAGGCCGCTAAATGTATCCTGACTTTTCAGCTACATGTAGGATGAGTAGAAAATTGTGTAAATAAGATTTTTTACCTATAACTATAACTTTTCCTTTCAACAGGGAACAAATGAGGAACATCTACCAAAACTGGTCAAAAATTGGCCAAAAGGTCCAACATGGTGCAACATTCTCACAGCTCGTCCAAAATGGTTAGCCACCGAATCATAAAGACGCAGTGTTGCTAATGTTCCTGTGATACTCTAACTGTTGTTGCTGACTGTTGCAGCAGAGTTTTGATAGAGATAGAGTAAATTGAAGAACTAGCAGATCAAGAGACACCAAGAAATTATCTATCATTCCACACAGTGAGCAGCCCTGAGAGGCTCATGTGTTACAGTTTTCTTGAGGATGGAATGGCTACACTAGACAGGTGACATTTTGAATGAAAGTAAAGATAGTAAAAGTGTTGGCCAAATTGTAGGCCAAACGGTCCAAAATGGTGGAATGTGCCCACATTTACATTACATTACATTCAGAGTGACGTACAAAAGTGCTTTATTGCCCATTTGGAAATCTGATATATAGGGAATATTAGGATTTCAAGTATGTTGTTGCTGTCAGAACAAAATCTCATATTTCCATATTTTCATTTTTTGACATAGTTTGAAAAAAAGCAGTTGATCTTTATGTTGTATGAAAATTTCATGATGAATGGACCAACAGAAATGGTCCAAAATTACTTGGAAAAAAATATCTCTCCATTTATAGAACATTTTTCCTTGTCCTGTAAACTCACCTTTTTGGAGATACAAGGTTTTGTTCCGATAGCAGTGATATGACATATATGATTAGATTTTCTTTCTGTCCAACTTATATTTATCTCATTTGGAAATATATGTGACACATATGCCAACTTATTTGAAATTGAACATTTTCAAATATGGGACATATATTTCAGCCATATATCAATATAGAACAACATATTTGCAACATATATATTTAGCAATATATAATAAACATTATTCTTATATGGATGGCATTTATTACTCATACGCTGGCTTCATATTATGCAATATAAGGTCTTTATGCATCTTCCTTATTTCTTCCACATGCTTCCTAATGAAGTGAAAATGAGTATAACAGCTAACTCTAAAACTTGCAACAAAATTTTTCAAACATGGAATAAATGAATAAATTGTTCCCTGATACATTTAAGTAAATTAATATTTATAAACTATAAATACACTGGGATGGGTCTCAACAATGTATCAGATATGTATATATCATAAATATATTTTGCATATACGCCCAATATTTGATACTTACAGATACATACTTGACATATATGTACATATATTTAGAAACATGCCTGACCCATTATGACATATGTGCATATATGGCCATATCAGGTTTACATAATGGTGTCCACTCAAAGAATGTACCCTATTTAGTACAAACAGGTTCCAAACTAGCCTTGAGACACTGCCAGAAACAAAAGCCAGTGCTGATTTCTAAAAAGAACAGTGGAATTTTGGTCCAGCACCTGTTCTGGATGCATGGCGATTGAAGCCAATCCATATTTGAAGCTTGTAGGCCTCGAGGTATAGATCAAGTTTAGACCATTGTGATGCTCACAGCACCTCCAAAATGGTTGACCACTGAATCCTGAAGATGCATAATCTACCATAAAAAATAACTTGTTTGATGCTAAAGTGATTAACATCAATAGCCCACCAAAATGAATCACAGAACATTGTGTGAATATTGCATATAGGCCTATATAGGCACATTACTCATATGTGAACTATGAACTTCGCTCAGCCTGGAAGATAGTCATCATGTGGGAGCTGCCATACCCACAGCATCTAATTCTGATCTTTAGCAGGGAATAGGAAAGCCAGGCATAGTGACGATCAAACGGCTCAACTGTGAAGAAAACAGCAAAGCAAAGTAACTCCCACATGCACGAAACCACAGCAAGACACAGCAGACCGTGCGAGTCAAAATCAATATCAGTGATTCATCACACTTAAGTTGGATCCGCCAGATATCTAGAGACACTCGCAGCAAATACTGCTTTTTGTTTATCAGTTCTGTGGGTATTTTTATGGAAGGGAGTTCAGAGCAGCGTTAGTTCAAAAGACACCATCTGAGAAAGATTCCTCAATGTTCAATCATGAAGGACACTGGTCATTTTAATAAAAGCCCTTACCTTGTAGTTCACTCTGCTGGTGTACAGTTAGAGACCGCAGCTCATCTGTTGATGCACAGTTTGTGTTAACCATCCTAGTCCTTCATAAATGATCAGTTTTTAACCACTTGGCTGGGTATTTCTGGATGGTGGACCACTCTCAACCTAGCAGTGACTGACCATAGTCAGAGGGTGGGTGGTCAGTTTGTAAAAAAAGAAAGAGATGCATTGTGAGTCGTGATGAGTATATATTCAAATACCCATGAAAGTTTAAAATCGATTAAAAATCTGATAGTAAATTTAGACCCTTGATATGCAAATGGGCTTTTCTCTAACATTATATGCCTCATACTGAAGAACCATAAGAGGTCTGAACTGTATTCTCCACCAGAGGGCAGTCTAGAGCCTGTGTCTTATGTTTTGGTCAGAGTTTCTTACCTGTTTAGTCCAAAGAAGGACTATTGCAGCTGGCTTAGTAGTTGGTAGACAGTACAAAGCACAGCTATAGCACATAGGAAGTGCTGCATAAAAGAATTAATAAGTTTATTTTAAGTTTATTTAATCTATAGAGGTGAAATATTATGTTACTTTAGCTGAGGTGAAAACAGATGATTAGCATTTGTCGATTTATATTAAACACTATAGAT